TTTTTTATAGTTAAGTTAGGGTTTAGGGTTAGAATTATTAGGAAAAGAGTATAGGTGGATTTTGGTAGAGCTTATATTTTTAAATTGAGACCCCTAAATTTCACAATGATCTGATTTCATTATGATCTGCAACATTAAATACTTAAATTCTATAATTTCAAATGACTTTAAACAAAAAAAAAATCCTACAAATATCTCAGGTGTTTTATACCATATTTACGTAAATATTGTCATAAGTTCATGCAAATGTACATATGATATATAATGAGGAAAATATACGGGCAAAATATGTCATCAAATAAAAATTTTATATTCGTCTAAATCAACCTTTACATACCAATTTTCGTTGTATCTGCACAGAAAAATGACACGTTATAGTGAAGAACTTTATAATTTTGAGCACAAACTTAAAAATACGTTTGATGATTTCTTGAAAAGAATTGGGTTGTACGGAGATGAAAATAAAGAAGAAAGCTATTATAAAGACAGAAAAATTACTTGCTTTAATCCAAAGCTGGATTTCCATGAAAATGATAAGGAATATCTAGTTTATGTCGAGCTACCTGTAAGTCTAATTAATATTAGATCTTTTGATATTGACTTGAGATCTTTGCGAAATTATTAACATATTTTTCAATCCTAATAAATAGGGCGTCAAAAAAGAAGAAATTTGTCTCGATCTCAGAGACGGTGATCGTGTGCTCAATATTTCTGGTGAAATAAAACAGGATGAAAAGTTAGAAAAAGGAAGAGCCCATATTGAAGAACGTCGTTTTGGATATTTTCGTCGATCTGTTGTTTTATCCGAAAATGTCAATCTGGATAATATCACTGCTAAGTTTCATGATGGAGTTTTGAAGATCACTATTCCTAAGCAAGAGCTTACCAAATCCAAGAAAGTTTCGATTCATTAAAAAGTTCCAGTTTATTATGAATTTGATAGATTTCTGACATTGACCGATGGAGCATTAGTGCGAATTAAGATTGCATATTTTTAGATTGAAATCGTTCATCAAATTAGCTATTGCATGATTTATTAACATATTAATTTGAGGATAGTAATGATTGGTTTAGTTTATATAAATAAATTTTACATTATTACAATCTTCCAGTATCTTTAATTAGAATAAGTATTATCACTATATTAGAAATCAATAAAGTTCGTGACCGCTTTAGTATCTGCGTTTGCAATGGTTAACTAACAAAATAGGCTTTAATAAAACCCAGAATTTTGATAAATACGCAAACTAAACGATTTTTCGTTTTATTCTCAACAAGCTTAATGTTCTATCTATCATCGCTTCCATAATATTACTAGTGTTAACTAAGGTATTAAGGATAACATAACTTGGTAAATAAACATGATTAGCAACAGAATTATTTGTAATTATGTTAATCATATGCTGACACATCCCAAAGCCTTAAAACTTCATTGTAATCCTTCTTTCTTCTTTTTTTGATCGAAAAATATCCCAATCCTCTCGGCTTCGATTTGCTCACCAATATTTCCGGATTATCCGGAAGACCAAGTTCATTCACCGCCAAAATTTGTACTCTCTCCCTAATATTTTCGCGTATACTTTTGATATGATCATATTCTCCTTTGGGAAGTAAAAGAAGTTTTGTGAGAGAGAGACAAGACCTCATAGCTTGAAATAAGTCTTCTGTCCAGCGAATTGTTAACCACATTAATAGAGGAATTAGCCACGAAGTAATGAACGCAAATGGCAATGTCAAAAATACTGCTGTTATATAAATTGGGATAAGCAGCATTGTAGCAATAAGCAATTTATATTGGGTTATTTCATCATAATTATCTTCCTTGGGCAATTTACGAATCTGATATTCTTTATACCTAATAGTGCAAAATTAACATAAAGTTAGTTTACATTATGGATAGCAAACAACAATGTAATATGAACAGGTATTATTGCCGCAGCCGATATTATTTGAAGCTGAGAATTGGGTTCTACTTAAATTTATAATAATTCTGGCACTATATCTAAAAAATTTATATTAAAATAGGACCCATCCTCAGCTTCAGCAAATTTTAGCTTCAACTACAACAATTGTCAACAGACTACTTTAAAGAATTTACTAACTTTACGCATGTAAATATTGGTAGCCAAAGTATTATTCCTACTGAAGAGATCGTAGCAAGAACTGATGCCCAAATTACTCGTATAATAATACGACCAATAAGCTCAGGTTTTGACAACGGAATATCACGACTGAACCGATAATCTTTTATTCCATATGAATCAAGAAGATCTTGATATGCCTTTTAATTTATCATTAATGTTAATTAGTGGTTATTAAGAGATTTAATTAATCTTCTCAAGTTTTTCAATTAAAGGACGCTTACAGCCAGATCTCTCGATAAGACATGAATGTCAACATCTTGATGTGTAATCTTTTCTTTAAACGCTGGATTATCCACATGCAAAACATTGCTATCAACGCGTTCAACAATAATTTCCTTGTGTTCATTGTTAATCTCATTATTTCCGTTGTACTGACCTCCATTGGTTTCTTCACTAGCTTTTGCTAATGTATCAATAAATTTTTTTGTTAAGCGAACATACTCAGCTAAAGATATTCTAGTACCAAGATTGCCCGCGTACAGCTTTCGTGCAGTATGTGCTATATTTTGATAAAAGAAACTAATTATAGTATATTATTATATTAAATTATATGTAGTTATTAATTAATGAATGAAATATACCTATCCTTAAAGTTTGCCAGTCAGGTGAATCAAGAGTGTTTGAACGAACCGTTTCCTCCATGACAGATGTCAATTCATTTATGGCTTGTTCACTAGAACGCTTTTTGCCATCTGAAGTAACAGTTTTCAGGAGGGATTGATGTTGTGGAGTAAGCACGATCGGTGGATTGAATTTAACCAAAACGTTCGACCGAAATTTTTCGCGACGAATGTATATTAATGAAACTGTCAATAGATTAATTGAAAAGTTTGGACGGTCTTTATTGCGAGTCAAAGCCTTGAAAAACAGAAGAATGAGATACTGTAAGCCGTCTATTGTATAATAAATAATCATTGTAATTGTATAAACTTTTTTTATTTACCTCACTAGCTATCACTGCATGATCATAAATTCAATAAACAGATGTCAGTCACATATGATCTTTAAGAGGTAATAATCTAAAAAATAACTGCACATTACATGCTACACCAGGTTTAAAGGGTGCCACCTTGCTGTGATATCGACTAATCCCTTCCGGGAACATGCAAATACAATCCCCTTGTTCCAAACTCTATATTATATAAAGATCAAATTTTAATCTTAGTATTCAAACTAGATTATCCAATCATGAGTTACATAATTCAGAAATACCTCTATTAACTTTGCTAATGATTCCGAATTATCGACTTTAGAATAATTATAATCCTTATATGGTTAGATTCAGAAGTTCTTTAATCAGTATTAGCAATAAATAAATAATTT